GAGGTCATCTAGTCCAACCCCCCCTCACCCAGGCAAGAGACCCTACGCCATGTCTGACCAATGGCAGTCCAGTCTCTTCTTGAAAACCTCCAGGGATGAAACTCCTCGGGGTGGGATGCAATACAGCTAGTCCTCAACTTACGACCAAAACCGAGCCCCAAATGTCCGTTGCTAAGCAAGACAGCCGTTCAGGGAGTTCTGCCTCCCCCTCCCCCGTTTTGCGACCTTTCCTGCCACTGTTTTTAAGTGGATCCCCGCAGCTGTGAAGAGAGTCGCCCGGTTGTTAAGTGAATCTGGCTTCCTCCGTCGCCTTTGCTAGTCAGAAGGTCACAAAAGGGGATCACGTGGCCCCGCGGGGACGCTGCAGCCGTCGTAAATGTGAGTCAGTGGCTCAGGGTCTGAATATGAATCACGTGATCGCGGGGATCCACAACGGTCCTGTGAAAAACAATTGTAAGTCCCTTTTTTTCAATGCTGTCGTAACTTGGAATGGTCATTAAGCAAACCGTTGTAAGTCGAGGACTACGTGTGCCATTGTTATTTTGAACAGTTACTAAATGAACTGTTGTAAGTCAGGTACTCCCTGCCTTATGGACACAACAGGGACCAAAATTTCCATGGCTAAGCGAGAATAACAGAGTATATAACAGGGCTGGGGCCTTCGAGATCATCTAGTCCAACCCCCTGCTCAGGCAGGAAAACCTTCCTGGCTGGTTTCCAACAAGCAAAGTCCATGGGGGAAGCCGGATTTTGCTTAGTGACTGCAGCGGAAACGGTGATTCAAATCAGGTGTGACTCGTTTAACGGCTGCCTGGCTTAGAAATGGAAGCTCAGGTTCCGAAAGGGGTCATAAAATGAGGACTAACCATATATAATTTGGTTCCTGCCTGTAAGCCAACCACAGCCTGTTAACGTTGGGCGGCCTCTAAAACTGGTTCTCCTGCTTGAGTGGGGGGCTGGACTATAGGACCTCCAAGGTCCCTTCTATCTCATTCTATTCTATTCTGTTCTGCTCTATTCTATATTCTATATTTTGTGCTATTCCATTCTCTATTAATTCTATTCTACTCTATAGGCTATTTTATTCTCTATTTGTCCTATTCTCTATTTTGTTCTGTTTATTCTATTCTCTATTTTGTTCTATTCTCTATTCTATTCTATTCTATTCTATTCTAT